GTTTTCTTTGCATAAAGGCAAAACAGTTACGTTTTTATTCATCCTCCTCTCCTCTTACTGTGTTGCTCATGTGTGTTTTGCCTTTATTTCTGCTTCTCCAAAACTTTACTTTGGAGGGGAAAAAAAAAAAAAAAAAAGAGGCATCTGAACTGATGGTGGAGTACTTTCCACCGGGAAGATTTTGAGAGATCTTGCACTTCAGTCCTTTCTCCTATTTTAGAAGCATGTTCTGGTTTTGTGCATGTTCTGTCTTTTATTTGCCTGCTTTTTTTTGGTGTTTTAAGGGACACAGGGAGGTAAAACACACAGAAATTCATGGGTTCCGTTTTCAGCCATCACGTTGGTTGACATCAGTTTTAGCTGTTCCATCGAGGACTTTTTTGTGAAGGCTGGTTTGATTAAAACAGCCAGCGTATTTTCACAGTGGTTGGTCAGTCTCATCCTAGAAAAGATGTTTTTTCTTACCCAGTTTTGGATTTTGGTACTCAGATTGGAGTGTTGGTGAGATAAGTCCAGCTTATTATGTGAAAACTCGGCTCTGTGTAATTGTATTTACACACTGTAAGTCATTTGCTGCTGCCGTGGGAGGAATGGAGCTTTGAGATACTCTGTCTTCTCTTTGAAAAGGAACCTCTGTGTGTTGTGATCATGCTGTAAATGCTGGGAAGAGGGAGTAACCATGGCCCTGAGATGCTGTGGGTTTTCCATGAGAACTCTCAGTAATGAAGAGTTACAGAGCTGCTGACCCGTGTCGGGGCTGTGCCCATCGGTGGGGCAGCTGGGCTGGGCAACTGCTGCCAGCCTATGCTCCTGTGGGGACTGGAATTCCAGGGGAACGGTGCCAAATCTTCTCCTTCAAGTGTTTATCCCTGGACACGGCTGGTGTTGGTTATAGGGTGAATGCTCCATGACCAGTTGTGCGCTTCTGAAGCGTAAATGATACACCGCAAATTCGAGACGATTCGCTGGCACACGCACCTTTTATACAGATTTCCCTCTTTTTGAGGGGACTAAGATTGGTACTTCAGGGTTTCTCAGCCTATGGCCAAAGGGTTTACGAGGCTGTGAAATGGGCAGGAGAAAAGCTCCGTGTTTCATGGGAGTGTTGTGTGGTTTGAATAGTTAATGCATGCGTGTGCATATTCACAGCTTCACATCAAAAGCACTTGCATATCATTTGTGTGTAAATACGGGTTTCTACCACTACAGAGACAGCTAGTATCACATTATTTCATATTCCCCTACTTCCCTGTGGGGTTTGCAGGTAACAGTAGTTTAAAAATAATGTGATTTTCTGTTTTTATAGGGACTCAGCGGTTAACGTTCGCTGCCAGTCAGGCTCCTTTTCATGTCTGGCAGCTCTACAGAACTTGGGTTGTGTGACTAAATTGTGCTCATATGAAGCATGCCATTAAAATGGGAATGGTTGTTCAACAGATTAAGGGCTCCTAGGATCCAAGTACTTAAGGTAAACTTAAAAAAGCCCCCACTGAATCACCTACTTATATAGGTTAAAAAAAAAAACCACAGTCCCCCAGGCTTCCCCCCCTTGTCCCAGGTAATAGATATATTTAAAGTCAGTCTGTTGTTCAGCTGACACTTTGAGTAGTGTAAGTGGTTGCAGCCAACCATGGATTTCCTGCCTTACCAGCATTCACAGGCACCCTTTTCCTTTTTTTGCTACATCAGTTTTTATCTGGATCAGCTTTCTGATCCACTCTGTTCTGCGGCCACCAAATCCTTGTGCTGACGAGGAGGTGTGATGGCCCAGGAGTAAAGGTGAACGCCTGGGGGCAAAGGTACTTGGGACTGTAGCTTGAGGGTTGACTTGTTAGGCAAGAAGTCACAGAAATTTTCTGAGACTCCCAGATTAATATATTTACCGTAAACAATTCCTTTTTTTTTTTGCAGTTCACAGTTAACTAACTTTGCCTTTATTTGAGCAGGAGCAATATTGACCTTTTTGGCTTCCAGGAGAGAACAACTTGTCTAATTGCAGTATTTTCTTGAACAGTGATTGCACTGTGTCCTTGCTTGTACTGTTGAGGGCAGATGTGGGGTAAGATGGCTCATCTTACCCAAAATGATAGATGTGTTTTTAAGATACACACACAGGGTGTGTATATGTGTATATACATGTAAATATACTGGGGGGTTCAAATACTCCAGTATAGGTGACTCTAGTTCACAGATTTAGTGCCCTGATCATTTTTAGTAGTTGTAATTTCAACCTTTTGATCTCATCTGTTAAGCATTTAAGTATTTTAAATAAACTCATTTATTATGCTGGGAGTTGATAATTGGGATGTCTGAAGTGCTCGTCCCACCAAACAAATCAAACTTTTTATAATTTGGAAAAGGAGTCTTCTATCTCTTTTCCAGATTCACAGTAAAAATTAGAGCAAATTATATTACTGATGCATGATGGAAGATTTGATAGTTAGGGAATCAGACTAATAAAACCCAAATGTAGCTAACAAAGACTTGGTTATGGAAAATGAGGAAATGCCTTTCAACCTGTGTGTTGTTCTGTACAGGCAGCACTGATGTAGATACACGGAGATTAGTCTGGTCAAGGTGCAATTAAATTACCGTGGAGTAGGAGATTTTTGAATATGACTCTGTGCTTCCATGTTAAACATGAGGTCAGCAGACAGCAGACAAAGGGCAGGTCTGCCAGAAGAAAACACACCAAAATATTTCATAAATAGTATTAGAGAGAATGGATGTTGGGCACTGCCACACCACCTTTCAAGAAGGAAAAACTTGAATGTGATGAGTAAATTAGCTAATCTTTGTTACTGTGATTAGTGCTGTATAGCCTTTCCTCGGGGTGGAGGGAAGAAATGGATGAGATTTGCTCTTACTGCTGCCCCTTCCTTTGCGTGGGCCTGGCTTTTGGTGTGTTTGCCTTTTGATGAGTGGTGTTGCTCATGAATAGCTTAATTCCAGGCTTAATTGGACATAATATCAGTAAAACGTGCTGATTTTCAAGTCTGTCAGAATAAACGAGAGCAAGTGTAAAGCTTGGATGTGTATCCAGCAAGATGAAAAGTTTTCTCTGCTAAAACAGGCAAATGTTGATAACTTGGTAGAAACTTGAATTTAACTGCTCCATCCTACTTCTCTGATAATATTATCCCATCTAGTTTGTTTGGGGGGGATTGATAGTTACATGGCAAGTGTATCAAATTTCATGCTGGCAGTATCTTTTATGTTCCCTGGGAGAGGAGAAAATAGCAATTTTATCTTGTGGCCAGGAGTCACAGAGAGCAGGAACTGTAGGTACCTGCCACATCGAGTTTTTAAATAAAAATGAATTGTAGAGCTGGGCAAGGAGTAAGGCAAAACCTATAGAGGAGCATTTATTGCATCTCCCCAGATTTTATTCTAATGCAGCACTGAAGAAAGTTAAGAATCTGTACAACCTGTATTTTTATTCAGACGTGAGGTGTCTGTGAAAAAGTCTGCTTGGTTTTTTTTCAGGGGATCTGTAGCTTTTTGGTTTTCTATCCAGAATTAAGTAATTTTGCTAAAATTGCGTAATTCCTGTTTCTGTGCTGTAAATATTGAAAAGCAGAGGGTTTGGGCTGGTTCCCTGTGAGTCTTATTTATGGGAAGGTTAATCTTGTTGTATATACTTACAGCTTTACTTTGAAACTTACTTCAAAAAGGAAAAAAAAAAAAACCAACACACAACAAACAGTTTTAAAAGTTGAAAGGCGAGTTTTAAACTAGCAAAGCCACTTCTGTTTAGGAAAACTGCATTCACAAGAAATGTATGACATCTGATCTTGTCTCCCTCGAGACAGATGTTGTGAGTCCCCAAGCTGGAAGATGGACCCACAGATTTCCACAGACATTTTGCTGCCTGTATGAAAAAAACCAAGACTAACCCCTCCCAGAAAAAAACAAACAAACAGCACAACAAACTTTCTAAATGATTATTAGGAGTAAACACCAAAATCAGGCAGCAGAAGTTAGCTTTGATGCAAACTTAGGTGTGATTTTTGGCAAGTCATAATGGGACAGATTTTGTAAAAGAACCTAACTTCTGTGAAGATATCACAGTATGGGACTGTATTTTTAAGGGAGCTCAGCACCCAGTATGTTTATTTGGGAAACCTGGCACCGACTGCTGGTACCAAAAATGCTTGAAAATCTGTTTCTGAACTTCAACAATCTGGCTCTGCGGGCATGAGCCTCCTTCCAAACAATGGTATCATTTGCCCTGCATTGAGGTGAGCAAACCTGCATTCTTTACCTCTGACTCTCATGGTAAATGAATTAATTAACCACATTTCCTTTTTCCTGCTGTGTTGTATTTGGCTTTTGAGTTTTATGGTTTTTTCTACTCGTGCACTTCTTACAGAAATGAGATACTTCTTAAACATGATAATAGTTATATGACAGTGCATTGCAAGTGAATTGACGCTTTGGAGAACAGACCAGGTGTGGAATAATTGCCACTGGAACACAAATTAATCCAAATAACAGCATAATCTAAAAAAAACCCCAACAGCACCAGCAGTCTAATTCAGTACTTTCAGGACATACCTGTGAGACACCCTGCAGTCACCCACCCACTGGGACACCCACGTGTCTCACTGCAGGGCACTCCTGGGGACGGGAACTGGGGGCTGCTGGCTCTGACCCAGTCCCACATCAGGTTTGAGGCGAATCTGAATTCATCAGGGGTGGTTTGTGCCGCCCTTGGAGCTGGTTTGTTGCCTTACCAGCGTGTTTTGTTTGGCTCCGTGGCCCAGGCCCTTTTTTTATCGTGGCATCGCTCTGGGTGACGTTGCTTTACAGTTTACCACAGTTTCATTCAGTGGAGGGAGAAGCAGCTTTAATAACTCGTGCTCAACATGGAGATCTGGGGTGTTTCATTCTGTCACTGCTAACTGTCTGCTTATTGTGCCAGCGTTGCTGGTGTGGGAGGAAAAATGTGCTAATTAAGTCCTCTTTTTTTTTTTTTTTTTTTTTGTTTGTTATTTCAGGAAACCTACCCTATGAATATAAAATAGTGATTGCTGGGAATCATGAACTGACATTTGATAAGGAATTCATGGCAGACCTTGTTAAACAAGATTACTACCGCTTTCCCTCTGTGTCCAAATTGAAACCAGAGGACTTTGACAATGTTCAGTCACTCCTGACAAATAGTATTTACTTACAAGATTCAGAGGTAACAGTTAAAGGATTCCGAATATATGGTGCCCCGTGGTAAGTCTCAATTTCAACTTTCTTTGCTGTTTATTACTCGAACCGCAGCAGGAACCCCGTTCCTGTTGAACGTGCATGAAGCTGCTTTGTTGCATTGCCCTGCAGAACTGTATCAGTAAACCACCCTGAAATAGTT